CATTAGTTTCTACATCCTGCAAATCTTAAGAGTTTGTGATTATAGCATATTAACCATCTTTCAATGCACCAGAAGCAATCGCATATCTATTCAATTTTATAAAACCAGTTTTACTAAATAACAACACAGTTTTTATAAACCACAAGTGAAACAAGAATTAGATAGCGTCTAACTTCTGTGCATAAAGATAGTTCTCTAATACTAATATCCTCATACTCTCTAATTTCAGATGTAATACTCCCACTGATTTAGCTACAACCTTGTCATCGGGTCAAGTACAAATATATTCCATATCATCGAGGCTTCTGGATTCCTGAAATCCTTGCAACGAATTGCAAACATGTTTAATGGCTCCAAAATCTATCCATCAGGAATTAATAGATACAACCACATAACATGGCTCAATAATTAAATATATATTTTCCTATGCCACGTCATTGCTTAGACAGTTCGTCCTTGAATGTCATAGTTAGCGGCAAAAGAAACAATTTCCTTCGCCCTCAACATACACTGCCTTATTCCCTTTAACCTTTTTGAATACCCATGTTTTGTGCTAGCCTAGTCCTATTATCATCCTTCTTCTTTGTTTTGCCCGTCCACTTGGGCCTAGAAGAAGATGGTATAGACTAGGTTAGATTGATAGGAACACCCATACTCTTGATTATCCCTTCATCTGTTACCAATTCTATAAGAATATCAGCGAGTGTGAACTCAAACTGATTCCTTATTTAGTTCACTCTAACAGAGTCGAACGAGTTTGGTAACAAGGCAATAATCATGTCAACTTGAAACTTACCACCTAAGTCAGCCCTATTGATCTCCAGCTAATTTTTAAATAATAAACAATCATTTTTCAAAATTCGATTTCATACTAGAGTTCCTTAGGCTATCTTAATGCTATTCAAGTCCGACATAGTACTTTGGCATACTCTCTATCTAATCTCACTAAAACATCTTATTGAATTTTAACATGATGCTTGAAGAAAATAAAATAATGTAAATGTTAGCTTTGGAGCGTATTCGAGGTAAACTCTAGAATATTGCACCAAGTCATCTCATTTGCCTTATTTCACTTATTCAAAGCATTAATGTTCTCTTGGGTATCTTAAAGTAAAAGGATTAGGTTTAGGAGTAGTAAATACATTTGTACCCTTACATTGTGAATAAAATATCTAAATTCCTTTCTCAGTCAATATTAATGAGATCCAGTTACATTGAATATGTAAGCAAGCAGATAAACTGGATTAGACATAATTAATCTGAATATAAATGCATTCATACAATATGCAAGGTGAATTATTAATACTGTCATGCATATTTAAAGTTAAAATGAGCTTGTTAACCACATAATACAATAAATCTCAATCGAACAAGAGATCATTATCATTATTGGTGAACAATCCCTTTTAATTAATGCGGGTCCCTCAACTCTGTAGCATAATAAATCAACCAATCAATATGTCAATAACTTATCCTGTTAGAGGAGTTCATTATTACTATTGTTGAGATTCATTTATTATTAGGCGAGCACTTCCATTAAAATAGTATATGGGTCCCTTAACCACTGCATGAAAAATCGAATAACCAATACGCCAATAACTTATTCGGTTGGCGAAGTTCATTATTGCTATTGGCGGGCAAATCCCATCATTTCCATATCTCTTAAGACAATGCCTTGTCTATCTATATGAAATGATTCCCGATTATGTTTAGCCTTTCTAAAATCACCTAGTATAGACCACTCTGTTGGGGAGCTAACACTATTGATTTTAGATTGAGTGTATAACGTTATTAATGCTCTAATGAAAAATAAAACATTAAATATCTTGTCATTATAATCTAGACTCTTTAAATCATGCGTAGGGCCTTATTTTTAAAGATCTAATTACAATGAACATTTAATATTATTATTTTCATGAGATAACCATTCTTGTAATATTAAGACTCTTCAAATCATGCGTGGGGTCTTATTTTTGAAGACCTAATTACAATGGTGTTAATAACGAAGGCCATGGAGCAATGTATAAAAATCCCCGCTCCCACTCAATTTTTAATCATTCATAATTAGGGTTTTCATTTTATTCATTTACATGATATAATGCATGCAAAACGTCTTGATTTTAATCCAATTAAATTTAGAAAATATTTGGACTTTAAACGATTCACTAATATTTAATTTGAAGCACACTTTAAAAATAATTTACAAAAAATAATTTTGCGTTTCCCAATAAGTGCCCTCAAATTAATTAGTAATCAGATCCAATTAATTTTCATAACTTAATTAATATAAATCAAGTCATTTAAATAAATATCATGGATCCAATGCATGAATAATAATTAATTAACAATTATATATTCCATGCATTTCATACATCGTATAAATAAATAAATGACAGATAAAGCAAATAAAATGACCAATGGAATTAGCTTTTAACATTTAACTACTTTAAGTATTGCGGGAAGCTCATCCATCAGCTTGCAAACACCCACATAAGGCTGGTACGCACCGGGAGAAGCAAAACACCGCTTGGAACACGCCTGGAGGGCTCCACACGCACTCACACGCGCCTGGGGCATGCTACAGGTGAAGGCACGCGCCCCCACGCGCTGGCACGCGTGTGGGGCACGTGGGACGCACCTCCACGCGTCTGCACGCGTGTGGAGAGAAGGTGGATTTGGCTGGTGCGTAAGACCCACACGCCAGCATGTCTTCAATGCCTCCAACTCTTGGCGCGTGCTCCTCACGTGCCAGGCTCACCACCATAGAGCTGCACCTGATTCTAGCCTCCTCCGACGTCTCTTCTCGCCGTCGGCGATGCTTCGGCCACCGGAAAAACGCAGAAAAATCTCAGAAAAATCAGAAAAATTCCCAGAAAATTAAATTAAGCCTCAAAAAATTCCAGAAAAATTTCAAAAAATTCAGAAAAAATTTCAGAAAATTACTGAAGCATAATTTAACCCTTTTGGACCTTCTTGAAGCTTCATAGCATCCTTTAATGAATATTACATGGCTTTAAAAATATTTACAACTTGAAATACAATGGAAAAAATAAATTACATCATTGAACTTTCAAACGGCTAAATCAAAGCCTTAATTACATTCATCCAAAGATAAAATTACATTAATTTAACCTATAAGTTTCATCCATGACCCAACCATACATCATCATTCATTCACAATTATTCATATATCATCATGTATCAATATATATCAACATATTAAATCATACATCAACATACATCAATAATAAATATATATGCATATCAAAATTGGATCCATGAATAATGAATTTTGATAAAAACATGATCTCTAGTAATGAATCAAACCATGCTCTGATACCACTGTTGGGAAACGTGCAAGTTTTAAAAACTTTTTGAGAGATTTTGATTCATAGATCTTGATTCATCACATAGAGACAAGTTTTATGCAAAAATAAAATATGATGTATCATTCAATTAAAAGATTGAATACTTACATCAAGGTTTGAGTAAACCTTAAATCTCTCCTCTAAAGTGAATGTTCTCACTTATTGTAGATCCCTTTTGCTAGACACCTTTTTCATGGATCTCCATCTTCTTGGTAATGGTCTTGCATTTAGGAATCACTCATAAGCCTCCATGAATGACCTTGAAAAACTAGGCTTGTGGGAGCCTCCATTAGATGAGAACACTAACCCTAATTTTCTAGAGAGAGAAAATTTATTCCTTTTTCCTTCTCATAAAAATCACCCCTAAAATATACATAGGCCATGTATATTTATAGGCAACATAAAAATAAAGAAAATGAAACAACAAATCCTTCTCAATCTCTAATTCATATGTCTCAAATCTAATATGATTTCAATATCAAGTTGGGCTATGAGTGAGAATCCATTGGGCTTATTATTTTATTGGCTACAATGAATTAATAATTGGCCCGGTCCATGGACCCAATTCAATTAATTCATAAATTAATTTCTACTCCACTAAAAGAAATTAATTGAACTCCAATTAAATAATAAATAACCTCTAAATCAATATTGCACTTTGACCCCTTTATGCATAATTAGTTATCGGATAAATAAAGCCATCAATCCGACTACTTAATTAATATATTTATTTTGGTACCATTGATTATTTCTGGCTTGATCACAATAAAACATTTGTTTGACAAAAATAATAATTTAAATAAATAAATATATAATAAATCATTTTGTCTAAAAACACACGAAGGCCTTCGAATTTACTTTGTGACCAACCATAATCAATACAAAATAAATACAAGTAGCAATGATGTAAATATTGAAAATATAACCCTCTAACTATTAATCACATAACTACCCAAAGTGTCGGTCTAAGGATCCCGAAAAATTCGCCAAACAAATCAAAGTAATTATTAATTAATAAAAGAGTCTATAATTTTCTCATGCTTAAGAGTCAAATGCCATGACGATGATAGGGAGCAATTGCATACGACGGCTGTCGCAATATATCTCAACCTAACGCAGATCCAGTTCAAGTCTTAATTAATTATGAGTCCATCCATAATTACCGACTATGAATAATTTATAATTACTGTTTATATATTATGCATTGATTGCCATCACTTACATATATATATAAATATTTCTTGTAATCACAGGGACACTATCAATTTCACAGTGAATCGAAATATAATACATTGAATTCACTAATTATATAAATCATAAATATTTCAGATATGTCAGGAACATATGTCATTATAATCCAGATAGAAATTTGGTATGCCAAAGCATATAAATCCCAACAGCAATATGTTCGTTCTAAAAGGATTGTTTAGATAATTGATTTTGCTAAGACTGTAATTCTAAAAGGAAAAGATGTGGAAATAATACTGTATTAAATGATGGAAATAATTCACTCCAACTAAAAAAAAAAAAAAAAAATAGTAACAAACGACGTCGTTTAGTCCCGGTTTCCCCTAACCGATCTACGGTCCAAAGTGCGCCAAACCACCCTTTATCGTCTCGCTTACAGCGATTACGCGCTCCTCTTACCTGACTTTCTCACTCTATTCTTCGCCCCCTCACTCTCTCAAACTATTCCTTTCTCTCTCCACAAAAACAGATCGTTGATTGAAAAACAAGAAGGCAACGAAAGCAATGGAGGATATAAATTTTGGGAAAAAATAGCATCGATTGCATTTGCTCAAAACCCTAGATTTTCAACATCTTAGCTGAAATCACCTCCTTCATACAGGTCTCTAAACCCCTCTCTTTACATGTGTATTTGTATGGGTTTCTTCAATTTTTTCAATTCATTGCTGTAAATCTGTACATAAAGTATCAATTTTTCGTATTAGGTTCTTAGTTTTGTGGAATCCTAATTTCTTAACAGAGGTCAACAGTTTTTGTGAGTTTTGGCTTTGGAAGGTCTATCGTTAGCAATTTTGAATTGTGTGTTCAAAAGGGTATTTGGAACTTGGATTGAATTGTGTGATATATTATGGAGAATGATATGAGGGATGATATGGTAATGGATCTTGATTTAAACCAGGAACCTTCAGAGCCACCTGGTGGTGTAGGACTAGGATCTTTATTGAATGAGTTGGAAACTGCCCACGGTCAGATCGAAGAGCGGATCCGACAACTTGAGGCAGTCACTGCTAGAGCTAGGCAACGCCAGAGGTGGCGACAATCTCTAAATCTTCCGGTAGCTAGTAATATTTCAACTGAACTGATTGATAATTTGGGTGGTGTAGAAGTGCGTAATGGGGAGAATAGTTTAGGTGCCCAAGAAAGGGCAGCTGATAGGGGCAAAAGTTGCAAAAGGGATAGCTCCCATTTGGTTGCGAAGGCGTTGGAAATCGATGCAGATGTTAAGAGGGTCAGTAGTGCAGGTGGGAATTTTTTCGATTGTAATATATGCTTTGGCATGGCAAGAGAACCTATATTGACTTGTTGCGGTCACTTGTTTTGTTGGGCATGCTTTCATCAGTTGCCATATGCCTATTCGAGTTCTAAGGAATGTCCTGAGTGCAAGGGGGAGGTGACCGACACAAATATTACTCCAATTTATGGTACCGGAAACAGTGCCCATGTGTCGGAGTCTAAGTCTCTCGTGAAGACACCCCCAAGGCCCCAAGCACACCGGAAAGAGAGTGTTAGGCAGCAGCGTGTTAGCCGGGTGGTGTCTCATATTCCGGTGGCAGAAGCACTTCGACGTATTAGGACTGGGATTAGTTTAACAAGGGAGCGGCCACAGAGACAGGATCTTGACGGTGTTGGAAACAATTCTGACAGAACTAGTATGTTGGCGAGTCGTGCTCCCACTTCCGAGGTGTTGCCCAATGCAGAGGTAGGCGGCAGCCGGCGCATCCGATCCCATCAGTTTTCGAGGGTTTTATCCGAAAGTGCTGCTTCACTTTCTTCAATTTCATCTGCACTGAGTAATGCAGAAAGATTAGTTGAGGACCTTGAATCTTATATTCATGACCGTGTTCTGCGCAGAACTGATTCTGATTCGCAGTTTTTAGGGGACTATCTTACAAGTAATTCTGTTGTTTTGCAATCAGAACATCAGACTGTGGGTTCCACTGCCGAGATCAATTCTTCAGAGCCCCCTTCTTCATCTTCCTTAAGAGCAGATGTCTCTGCTGTAGGTGTACACTTGGAAAACCTGACAACAGATACAGCTCCTGAACTCAATCTAACCGTGCCCCGTCTTTCTTCATCTTCCAGGAGAAGAAGTGGTGCTTCTAGGGTTTCTGATGTAGACATTGGATTTCTCCGTGAACGCAGAAGAAGAAGATTAGGATGATGTAGTTTTTTTAATAGCAAAAAAGAAGAAAGGTGAAATTGATACGTCTTCCTTTCCAAAAACTGCAATTTAGTTGTATTGCTGATAAATGAAGATTCCTTTGTTTTGAAACACCATGTTTGGGGATGCATAAAAAGTTGCCAACCGCCAATGTATGTAATTTTGAGTTCACTGTGAAAATCATTAGTCTCATACTTGGACAGATTTGATTAGTTTGTGGGATTTTCTATAAATAGCACAGTTAACTGTGTTCCTTTAAAAAAAAAAAAAAAAAAAAAAAAAAAAAAAATGATAAATATAATCTACTAATATTGCCTTCTTTAAGTATTATTATTATTTGTGGAAAACCCAGCCTGATTTTTGATGTAGCTATTATGTCTAATAGAAGCCCATGCTCTGTACCATCTACCAACTTGTGTTATTGTTATGGACTACTAGGTTTCTGCACATACTCCCATTAAGGTATGAGTTTTATTCTTTTCTAAGCATGAGTTTTTAAATAAATGCTTTTGAGAATTTTTCTGTTCATTTTCACAACCATTGTTCAATTTCTACAAATCTATTAGTTGGATTGCTTCAATTGAACCTGATTAACAACATTAATTCTTTAAAAAGAAAAGGAAACAAAGAAATCCTTTTTCCTTTATTTTCAGACAATTACTTGCTGTCTGGGAGAACTAAGGAGGATAGTTAATATTTGCATATTTTTAGACTTTATATGGAATTATAGATCTAAGGAGGATAGTTAATATTGATATTATTAGACTTTAAGGGTTCCAAGATAATGTTGTCACAATCCTAGATCTATTGTGGAGCCTGCATAGTGTGACGGACCAATCTCTTTGCAGTCAGCCATCAAGCCAAATTTTTGAATCCACCTCAAATGTTAGGTAAAAGGCTTCGGTTTTTTTTTTTCCTTCCTGGAAATTTTTTTTTTTTTGAGTAGAGTTTGAGCATAACTTTGTTTATGATGAGACATAACTACCTGTATAACATTGTTTTGATACAATAGGTATATTAGAACCATGCTCCTATCTCTAGTTTTCCAACAGTTATGCTGCTTACGCATTGTAATGGTAAATTGTCTTTCAGATGCCTAACTTCTTTCCTTGCATTTGCTGGTCATTGACTAGTGAGTATGAATATTCAATTTTGAGTTAAAATTGTAATGTAATATTAAGGATATTTACATATATTATTTGATATCAGAGTGACTGTTGTCATGCTTCTCTACATTTTTTATGGCTGAAGCTTCTGCATTCCATTTCCTCGTTAACTCTCTTTGTCAGGTTTGTTGCAACTTGCAAACATTTCTGCCATATAACTCGTATATTCAGTAGTTCAATTTGCAACTGAATTGGTGAATTTAGGACTGGAATCAGATATAGGAAAAGGCGATTCGTTACGGATGTTTTGCTGGGAATCTATTTAAATGGAGTTTCTATTCCCTCTTCGTTTCTTAGGTTATGCCCTATGGATGAGTAATCTGTGTCCTGTGCAAGTTCATAGCTTTTGGGTATTTCCTTAATTTAAATTTGTTGCAGGATCTCTGGAGACAAAACAAGATCTGTGATGTTCATCAGAGAACTCAGAAGTAGGAGTATTTTTTGATTCTTGGGTTTATATTTGAAAGAGTTTTAGAAGTGCTTTGTTTACTGATTTTTGTAGGAGCTTGGGTTTATTCTATTGGAAAATCATGTTCTCTTTCTTCATAGGTACTTACTCTAAGCCTTGTTCCTCTTTTTTCTCTACCTGGATATCCACATCTATTAAGCATATTAGGGTACACATCATTTCAAAATTTTCATTTTTTAGGCTGGGGCTGTACGTGTGCGTTGGCAACAGCTATTTAGGTAAACAGTGTGTCATATGGGCTTAGTTTGTAAAGCCCTTAGTCACACAATTCTTGTCAACTACTCTCACACTCTATATATGCATGCTCTCGCTCTTGTTTTTATTATTTATGATTTAATTTTACAACTATTGCACTCTCGATTGATATGACTTAAAAGGTATCCTGTGCTGATACTTTTTTTATTTTTAACAAAACTCAACTTATAATGTGTTAAAAAGTTGGGTAATGGTAATTCACTATTATTCTATGAAAAGAAAGACTCCATAGGGGCTGGTGTGTCTTTTTATCCTATCTAAGTTGAGTGTTTTTTTAATTCTTCCATCATTGTATAGAAAGAACAGGGACTTTAGTTTTAGATCTATGTCTAATAAAATCCCCTACTCGTATTTATGTCGACATGGGTGCATTGAAATACAGAATTCATTGAAATACATAATTGTTGCGATTGGGAGTACATAATTAGCGATATGGATTTTTTTAAAAAAAATTAGGGTAAAGTATACTAATACTCTTTGAGGTATGCCAAAATGACACTTAGAAAAAATTTTATCTATTTTTAGAACAATAACACCCTTTAAAAATTGAAAAGTGGACAAAAACACCCCTTGAAGCCAACTGACATGAAAAATTGATCAAATTGTCCTTTAACCATTTAATTGACCTTTTTAACTTTACAAGTTAATAAATTAATATAAATATATATATATATAATTTAGGAAAAAAATAATAGATTAATATATATAGAGAACTTGCAATGTGTGGAGACCAAAGCAGAACCAAGATACTGGTTGGTGGTACAGTGGTTAGAAGATTAGGGCATTACAGGTTGTTAATCTGGCGCTAAACTTTGACGGGAAAATTGCGTCATTTTGACAAATAAATTTGAATTTAATATTAAGGGGCAATTTTGTCTTTTTATATGATTTAAGGCCTTGTTTGGATGAAATTTTTTTAAGGGAGTGTCATTGTTCCAAAAATAGGTAAGTTTCATCTGAGTTGCCTATTGACAAACCTCAGGGGGTGTTAGTGTACTTTATCCTAAAATTTAAATATTAGATAAACAAATTTGGAAATTTGGAAAAAATTTTAATTGTTAATGAGGATCTAATATATATATATATATATATATATATATATATATATATATATATATATATTGAACGCTTTCGTAGCCCAGCGATTAGGTTGCTTCGTTATTTTGAGTAAGGGTGCAACTTGGGTTGGGTAACCCGAACCCAACCCAAGCCCAATCCGATTTTTTACAGGCTTGGACAATCATTTTTACAAATAGGGTTGAAAATTCTCAACCCAAATTTAATTAGGGTTAGACTTTGGTTGAAGTGCTAGTAACCCGAGTCAACCCGAACTCAAATTCTAATATTATTTTTATATTTTTTTTAATTTTTAAATACATTATATATAATATTTAAACTATGATTATTTTTTTCTTTTCAACTTCTTTTGCTAAATCTTAACTTATTGTATGTTAACATTTATAAGAATTAATTTTCTAAAAATTTGTTTGAATTTATTAAAAATTTACAAAAAATATGTCTTTAAACTTTTTCTTATTTAAAAGTAATTTAATCTAAAACTAATTTAAAATCATATTAAATTTTCGATATAAGGATTAGTCAAATGAGTAATTCGAATTAACCCGAACTTTTTACTCTGAATCTAAACCCGAGTTGCAAGCCCGAATTTAAAAGTAGAAAGATGGGTTAGGCTTGGGTTGAGTAGTTAAGGTTAATGATAGGGTTGGGTTGGATTTGGGTTTAGTGTGTCATATGGTGGATTGGACTCAAGTTATACCTCAAACTTGCCTAACCCATCCGAGTTACAGCCCTAATTTTGAGCCTTCGCACTCCTTAACTTCGAATTTAACATTTTTGTCCTTAAAATATACTTGGTATATATATATATATATATATATATATATATATATATATATATATATATATATATATATAGTCGGATTAAAGTACACCCAAAGTCTTTTTTATAGGGATGATCCGTGACGTGTACCCACCCGGTGAATAAAATTGTTAAAAACTTCAGTATATGACAAAAGTAAAACTTCTTTCAACTTTTCCTTTTTTGCTTTTTTCATAAAATTTGTAGGTTGGGCCTGACACAATCCAAGATAGGCATTGTTTGGGCCACATTTAAATTAGTTTGACCCACCAATAACCGCCCAATCGTGTGGATAAAGATTAGAGTAACTTAATTTTTTTTGCTATTATTGAATGGCATATCACATAACCCTCTCCCTTTTCATTCATTTAAATTATTTAATGAAGTATCTTTTTCATGGATGAGAGCATAATATCATTATTTTTTCTTTCCTTTGTTGGGTTGAGAGCCTTTTCATGGCTGACTTGGTCTACTACTTGAATATAATGGACTTCTCTTTAGCCACTCTATAATAATAATAATAATAATAATTTCAAATAATGTGATGGTCCGTTGAGTACAACGTGAAGGGGAATCAAATAGCCTAATCACAGAACAATGTTAAAGTGTCTTCCCAAATGGACTATCTCAAAATTTAAGACCACAAATTCAATTATATCAGGTCAAAGCCTTCCCAAATGGACTATCTCAAAATTATTAGGACCACAAATTCAGCAGCACTTTGGTTGTGTGAAGAAAATTTCCACACAAGGAACAAGTCAAAATTTAAAGAATCCGATGTGATACCAAGTCTGAGTTGCACGGTATGAAATAGGTTCTGGAACTTCTTTTATAAAAAAACCTGAATGCGCGGTAAGTCCTTGCCATGTAGAACTCTGATCATCGAAAGATAGAGTAGCCAGTTCATTAGCAAAGTGATTGTATGCCCGCGGGATATGATAAAACTCGATGGCTTTAGAATGGTTAAACAAGATTGATAAACTGGTTTGCATGTTTAAATCGGATTAAAATAAAGAGTTATATATGTTTAAATATATGTTTGCGTGACTAGAAAGGAAATTCGAATAAGTTTAACTCAAAACTCTTTTTTTCTTTTAAAGTTTCAATCTTTATACATTAAAAAGCTCTAGTGACCTTGATTCAGTTATTTTCATTCTAAAATTCAATCTTTACTCATTAAAACATTCATCGTGACCTCAAAGGGAACTCGAATAAATTTAACTTTAAACTTGTGTGTAAGAAAGAGAGATCCACGAAAGTACATATGGTTAAGGCCTAGTCAATCACAATTTCATATATAAGCAAATGTGTCGGCTTTATCAACAAGTCAGTGGCTTAATGGTACCAAATCCCTATTTTTTAGAAAGAGGTTAGAGGTTCGAATTTCAGTGGAGGCATATGAGTGTGAGTACTAACTAAGAAAAAAAAAATGTCAACTTTATT